TTGTTAATGAATTTTCATATTTCATTCTACATTCAGCGTCGTCATGATTTATATTTTTTTACGTTCCTTTTCAAGAAACATAAAATATTGCATTCAATAAAAAGATAATTTTAAATTTTAAAATGAGATAATTTAGTGTAATAATTTAAAAAAGTTAATGTAAAGGTTTCTCGCAGATGCTTGAGGATATGGTAACATTTATCTAAAATTACATTAAATTATTCTAAACCCTGTCCCTGATATCATAAGACGCGAATTTGCAAAATCCCAAGCTGCAGTTGAGTGAAATCCCATATTTGAAAGAACAACTCCATATTCACTCAAAGCAAACATCGAATATACTGCAATAAAATAATCATATGGTGTAAATTTACTTATTTTTTTTTCTAATCAATTAACTTACCTAGTGGCTCGCAATATTTATTGTGCCTGTAAAAAAAATAACAAGCAAGTATTATAGAGAATATATTTAACATCATGGATCTTTGCTTCCATTTTAAGGAAGTAGTTTCAGAAAATTCCTTAGTAATGTTACGACAATTTCTCATGATAAAATATCCCATCTGCATGTGAATAAAAGATGTTATTAAAAATGTTATGAACGAGAATTTATGGAAGCCTGAAATAAAAATACAAATTATTTATACATTTTATACATACATCAAACAATAACATCTTGTATACTCACTGTAATTTTCATCAGACGTCCAAAAGCTTAACGTCACAAGAGATATGTTCTCAATAATGTATATACCCATTGCGATTTTACAAATATTTTGTGCCCATTTATAAATATGTTCTTTGTAATAACGACGATACATTATTAACACTAAAATTCGTATCACTGCTTGAATAGCTATTGCAATTTTCCAAACATCTCTTTGTGGCCTGTAATGCCCAATAGCAGCAGAGACAGATGGTAAAAAGTTATAAACCTAGTACAGAAAGATATTATACACACATACACATTGAAATATATAGATTGTGTATTATATAAATATATGCATTTTCAAGATATGATATCAACAGACCAGAAAAGTAAATACCTGACAATGAGTAGAAGTAGAATGTTCAAAATCGTATACGATGGACCATATAATACAAAATATAAATGCGAAAAAGGGCAGAGATACGGTGAACCATGCTAGTTTAGCAAAATCCAAAACGAATCTGGCTTTCAACATGTCGCCTTCCACCAGCGGAATATACTCTGACCCTACTCTAGACTTGTTCATCGTATTATATTCTAGATTATAATTTACGTCATCACGAACGAGTCTGATACTCTTAATAGGCTAAAGTACAAAACGTTTTATTGGTACGCATAACATGCATTTCGCCGTTCTTTTTCTTGTTATGTCGCACGGCACTAAACGCAAAAAGTCACATTGAAATGAACGATGGTAGCGCAATTTTGAAAGTAGACTTGACACACCAAACCATTTCAATTCTCTTGCCACCAACATTTTTCAGAAATATTGCGAAAGGCACAATACCATCTTACTGCAGAAACAATCGATTACTTGCCGAATGCACGACATTACACGCGACGTGCAACGACATCATGTATAAAAAGGACGAAAATTTTTTATAATGTTTAATTCGTTCGATCCCAGATAGCGCTAGTTGATTATTTGCGATTATTCACTACACCATCAGTTGTTTCTCTTTTATATGTTGTTTGTTACGGTGATTACGTACAGTTTTTATGTTTACATGTGTGTTTACATTTACGTAACTTTTACGTGAAAAAAAAGTGTTTAATTTAATTACAATGACACACAATAAGAACATTAGTGAAGCATAATACCAATGCCTAAATATTTCGGATAAATGTGCTTAACTTTTTGAGGTTAGATTTTGAGGTTAGATTTTCAAACGACTCAAAAAGATCGTGTACCTTTATAAAAACTTTTATTTGATTGTTCGTGATCGATGAAAACGCATTAAGAGCCTTTCTTCGAGATTTAAGATATGTAAGTACATAATTATATAATCATTTTGCGGCGAACACGGTAGTCAAGGATGGAGAGAAATGCAATGAACGAATAGTATGTGTGTGTTTGAATATAAAAAACATTGATTTCTCATTTATAAAAAAAAAAAAAAAAGTAGAGTGGAAATTGCATCGAAGCACTACTTTATCACTGATTATTAATGTCCTGACGTATGTACATTTGTTTGTTTCATTTTCTTTTTTTTGCTTTATGCTTGACATATTATTCGCATACATATTTCCATGCGAATATATGAAGGATATACGTTTGACAAACATCATCGTATTTTTTACCATACATTATCGTTTAAAATTTGTTCTAACCTAAAAAGGTTATACATATTTTTGAAATGAAAATGACTATATCAGGTATTTGTACACACTCGTTTTTCGTTATGGAACAGAATATATAGAATGCAAGTAATAATATGAATAGAAATCTCAGCTGTAATCGTGCAACAAATTTTTGTATAGCAAGTATCGATGAAACGAGCACAAGGACGCTCGTGTAATAGTCAGCGGCGCCGATACGCCAAGGGTTTCGTGAAAGACGTAAAAATAAAATGGGGAAAACTAAAAGGAAAAACAAGAAAGAGAGAAGTATTAGATTACTAGAGAGTAAGGAAGAAAGTATTAGATTGTCCCAAAAAGTTTTCTTTTGTTTTCTTTTGTTTCCATGTTTCACACCGTGTTATTGAATTATATATAATCCACTCTGTTTCGTTACCTTCCCCCCCTCCCCCCTCACTCCGGAAGCTTCACAATGCCATCTTTCCAAAACTTCCGGGATCTGCTAGCGAAATATTGTTCGTAGATGTGTATTCTTACGTCATTTGTTAAGCCAGAATTTTTACTGCAGAGGTTTCCTTTTTTTGAAATGAAAGAATAATATATGATAATCAGAGGTAAATGTATTATCTCTTTCTTTTGTTGAAAAAAAAAATTCCCTCCCTTGACAAATACATCTCTGACAATTTTCGCTAGCAAATCCCTGGAGATTTCAGAAATGATATTCTGGAGAGATAATAGATAATCGGAATGGGTTCGTAATATTCGATGTAAAACATGCGTTAATCGTTGATAGAACGGAAAAGACAATCTGATAGAATGGAAGAAGAGAGCGGTGTCCGCTCGCTGTTCGATTACGATGGTTAGGCTACGTTGCTTAGCTAGTTTCGAGTTTCGATCAAATTAGACGCAATGCGTCGAGACAGTCTGCCAGGGAGAGCCGCAATATTACCGTATGTATCGCGCTGAAAGGCAAACATGAAAACCATTCCCACTGCTTGCCTATTGGCAACCGTCTCCATTTAATTGTATTGCATCGCATCGCATCATCTGGTATCGTTCGCGACGTGTCCTTCTTCCAAGAGCTATTCTACTTTTCCCGATATTCCGTTCGCATCGTCGTTAACTGATCTCCACCGACCGGATTAAAAAAACCGACATTTAACGTTTCTAAAAACGACCAACTCTCGCGGCAACCTTCCAAACGATTTCAAATCGTATATATCGTGTCAAAACTGGCGTTTGGATCAACAGGAAGACATCAAACTTGGTTTGTTAACTGAAAAGCAGATGTAAGAAAAAAAAAATATATATATATATATATATATATATAGGAATCAACTGTTTTATTTTCGTGTATCTTATCAGTTAATTTACGCGAGATGCGAGAGAATCTATATCCGTCCTGGCAAGCAGAGACTATCGGCTTCGCGCTTGAATGAAAGCGCGAGTATGGTTGTCACCAACTTCTATTCGTGTCAGACAACACAAAGTAAGTAGATTATATACAAATGGACGGAATTCTCCTCCCTCCTTCCCTTTCTATCCTTTGCACCCAGTTACACAAGCGTAATAGGTACGTGCATCGATACATGCCAATTGCTCCAACTGCGAAAGATTCGACGATAAATAAACGAGTCGAACTGGCGCTCGTTTGCAAAACAAACGTTATTACACGTCATCTGCATTTCGAACGATCGATGTGGCATTCCAATCACGCAAGATGATATCTCGATAGGAAAGAAATAGAACCGACATCTATATATATATATATATATATATATAT